ATAATATTTAAATAATTTTATATAAAATTTTAACATTTAAAATACAAAGTATCCTAATTTCCACTTTATCTCCCTAAAACTTGCAATTTTATAAAGGAAAAAAATAATAATAATAAAACTTGCGAGAAGTCGAAAATGAAAATTCCGTCAAACACCCCTAATTATGAGGTTCAAAACCCGGATCCAAATACGGTTGCTGCTGCCCTCCTCTCTGCTCTTCCAAAGCTATTCTCGTTTCCTCTCGCAATCGTTTCTCTACGTCTGCACTTGCATACATAATAATGGCTGATCCCTATCCCCTCATCGTTATTGAGGAGGCACTCTCTAGATTCGCTTCACCGCTTGACAGAAGAACCAGTCAATTCGAGAATTTGAAGAAGGTGCTGGAGAAGCTGAAGGAGTCGCTCAAATTGATGGAATCTGTGCTCACAAATGCAGATCAAACGCAAAGTGATGAAGCCACAAGGGATTGGCTGCAGAGGCTCCAAGATGCAGCTGATGATCTGCGGGATCTGCTGGATGAGGATGCATATGGAGTTCACCGGCACAAAGGTCGGATTCAAAGCCAATTCAGGAAACAGGTGCACAATTTCCTTTTTACCCCCAAATCCATGCTTAGCAAAATTAAGGAGATTAATGTGTCTTTCACCGAAATTTTAGAAGAATCAAATGGTATTAGACTGATAAATCACAATCAAAATCGTGAAGCTCCTAGGCGAGAAGCTGATGAGTCATTTTATAAGTTTAAAGTTTTGCAAAGGGATGATGATGTCTCAAAAATTGAAAGTTTGCTGGATGAGTTGAGCCAGACAGATCGCCTCTCTGGCCTTTCCATAGTTGGCATGCCGGGTGTTGGAAAGACAACAGTAGCTAGATCAATATTTGTGAGGGCAAGGGAAAATCACCCCTCCAGTCTGGTGGCCTGGGTGCCGGTACGTAAGGATCTTCAAGAAGAGATGATTTTAGGACAGATGTTGGAATATCTTGATAGCCATGCTGCTGGAATGACAGATATCGATCCAATACTTTCTCATCTTAAACCAATGTTAGAAAATAAAAAAATTCTTCTCATCCTTGATGGTTTATGGAATGAAAAACATGCTCAGGGGTTGAAAGAGTTCATCTGTCGTCTGCCACAATGGTTCGCAACTGCTAGGATCTCTGTTGTCATAACAACTAGTAATAAAGAGGTAGCTTCACTAATGATGGACACAATTCCTTGGCACAAGTATGAATTGCAAAAGCTATCAAATGAAGACTGCTGGCTGATAATGGAGGACAATGTTCTCAGATCGCCCAACAGAACTTCAATAGAAGATCCACAGTTGTTGCTTATTGGAAAAGATATTGCAAAACAGTGTGGGGGTTTGCCATTAGTTGCAGCTGTCCTTGGCAAACACTTGGGCGCTCATATTGGGGTAAATGAGTGGTCAGCTATCAGATATAATGAAGCATGGCATGCACCACATAGACAGGAGATTCTGTCTCAACTGAAAAAAAGTTATGATCACTTGCCTCTACATTTGAAAAAATGCTTTTCTTTCTGTTCAATTTTTCCAAAAGAAAAAATTGTTAAAATCAGTAGAGATGAATTAGTTCAGTGTTGGATGGCTAATGGGTTTCTTTCCAAATCTAATGACAGCAATTCTGATAAAGTAGAAGATGTTGGCAACAGGTGCTTCAATTATTTGGTATCCAATTACTTATTGGAAGTCGTGGATATGGATGAGTGTGGGAATATAAAGTTTTGCAAGATGCATGATGAGGTGCATAATCTTGCATTGCTTTCAGCAAAATGTGAAACATATATTTGGCCGGATACCCATCCAGTTGAAGAGAGTGTTCGGCATATGAGGGTTCAGTCTGATCAAAACCTTCAAGATGTTCCAGAAGGTGTTGCTCAAAGGTTGCACTCTTTGTTCTTGGATGTTGATGTTTTGCACAGGATGCCTAAGAATTCCAGAAGTTTGCGACTTTTAAAGCTAGCAGCTGCTAATGCAAATGAGTTGAAATCTTCTCTTGACAGATTGAAATATCACATGAAATACCTTGACATATCAGGAAGTGCAATTGAAAGACTACCAAAATCTGTCTCCGAGCTCTACAATTTGCAGACTTTGAGATTCACAGGCTGCAATTCATTGGAAAAGCTCCCAAGTGGTATTGAAAATCTAGTCAACTTGAGGCATATTTATTTTGATGATGAAAGGCATGTGCCAATTAGCATTGGGAGATTAACTTCTCTTCAGACTTTACCGCTATTTGTTGTGGGCTCAGAAAAGGGTCGGAGAATTGAAGAGCTTAAATCTTTGAACCAACTCAGAGGAAAACTGAAAATTTGCAAGCTTGAGCTAGTATCTCAATCAGAAGCTAGAGAAGCAAGACTTGAAGATAAAGGAGAATTGATCGAGTTGCAATTTGTATGGAGTGAAGACAGAGCCAACAGTGACAAAGATATGGTTGTTCTGGAAGGTCTTCAACCTCACTCAAATTTGAAAAGCTTAACCATTGAGAAGTATAGGGGAGGCAGCTGCCCTTCATGGATGATGAATTTGGAACAGCTTGTGAATTTGAAATTGATTGATTGTAATGAATGTGGTGATATTTCATGCCTTGAACTCTTACCTGAGCTTGAGGTTCTCAATATAAAGGCAGTGCCAAATGTGAAGAGGATAGGCAGAATGTCTTATCATCAAAGTAGCAGCATGGCAAGTAGCAGCCAAGGTGGGGGACAATCAATAAAACCATTTCCAGCTTTGAGAAAACTCGAGTTAAGTAACATGGCACAGCTGGAGGAATGGACAGGGGCACAAGGCATGATCGTGTTTCCTTGCCTTGAGGAGTTGCATATTCAGCATTGCCCCGAGCTCAAAACATGGTGCACAAGCAGCAGCCAAGGCGGGGGACAATCAATCCTACCATTTCCGGCTTTGAAGAAACTAACGTTAAGGGAGATGACAAATCTGGAGGGATGGAAAACAGCACAAGGCATGGTTGTGTTCTCTCATCTTGAGGAATTGCATATTGGGGATTGCTCAGAGCTCAAAACATGGTGCGCAAGCAACAGCCAAGGTAGAGGAGGTTCAAGTACACCATTTCCAGCTTTGAGAAAACTTACTTTAAGCAACATGAAAAAGCTGGAGAAATGGACAGAAGCACAAGGCATGGTTGTGTTTGATTGCCTTGAGGAGTTGCATATTCTGGATTGTCCAGTGCTCAATACATTGTGGGAAGATGGATCTGCATCTCCAAGTCTCTCTATACTGGGCATACAATCATGTCCGAACTTGCAGGCTATCCCAATTGGGCTGTCAAACTTAACATCTCTTGATATAAACGATTGTCCCAAATTAATGGGGTATGCTCAAGAAGGCAGCCACGAATGGTCATCCATTTGCCACACGCCTAGTATCAGAATCAATGGGCGGATAGTGCGATCCAAAGATCTTGATTTTTCAAAGGTATGTTAAGTCTATATTTCCCAATGTGATCCCTTCATATCATATTTTATTTATCTATCTAAGTTAGGCTGGTGGTTGACCAGTTACATTCGTTTTATGATCTTAATATTTGGCTGAATCACTATTTTAGTACATCTATCATTTCAATACCTTCTTGTCCATCTGATGACATATTATCTCTCTCTAGTGCCCTTTGGAGACAACGGCGGATACGAAGATTCAGATTGAGGATTGAAGAAAGGAATATATGCCATACGAACTTTATTTTACTGAGGTAATTAATCTTTTGTTGATTGCTCTATTCTTGATTAATCTACAGTGAATTTCTTACCCTCTGTTTAAAGCAACAGCAAGTTATATGTACTATACTTCTATCATATATTTGCTTTATATTGACTGATGGTTAAGTTACTAGCCAAAATGTCTTTAAAACTCTACTAGGAAAGTTAAAGTGATGTTTTGCGATGTAATGACATAATTGCAAGCAATTTCTTCTTTTATTGAAGTTTAATTTCTGATTATATAGAGATCAGTGTATTGCACTCTCTCATTCATCTTATTGCTAATTTTGCTTCAGACAGAAGAAAAGAAGTCTCTTCCTATCAACTTCTGCTTCTCATTGGCCTTAGGAATGATCAAAATATTCAATTTTGATGGAATGGAAGGTTTGTTAGAATTGGTTGAGAGACCTCTTCTTCTCCAGGAGCTGAGAACTGGGTTTTGCACTAATTTGATGCGTCTACTTCTGCCAGCCCATGCACCCAATGCCTCTACAACAAACTAACAATCAAGGGTCTAGGTTCATGATTCTTATGATCGTTCCATTCAGAGGAAAGATGCATGTGAGGGAGCATTGGTGAATGGTCCAATGTTTTCCTGAATCCAAGAATGACTGGTCTTGAGAAGGTATGTGTGGTCTATTAAACATCTATCACTTCTTTTAATGTATGTTACCCAGTCGAGAGTTGTTTCACAATATCCCCAGTTGTGTGTGTACTCAGGTGCATGTCGTCCCTAATTGAAGCGTCAGGGCATGAACTTACTGATGATGGAGATCTCTTCTAGCATCTGGTTGTTGAAGTAAAATCAAATATATATTTATATACATCCGAGCAAAATGTTCCCACCCTCCAATTCTATGATTTTATCGGAGTTCATAAATAAAACTGGTGAGTTCTCAAATCATCATGAGTTTTTCTTAATGACAAACCTTTTGGGTTCTAATTGCATAGCTCCTGATTTAGTATGTTTGGTTCTTATTTCGGACAAAATTCACAGGTCATCTTGATTCCTCTCTAAAGGACTTTTGCAAAAAGCATCGAGTGATATTGAAGCCCTGATAATGCTAGAATTCTTTTTGAAGATTTTATTATTGTTGTAATGTAACTCTTTAGTTCCATATGGAGAAGAAACTTATGTAGGAAAGTTATTTCCCAAGCGGGGGTTTCCATCTGGATTTCCACGTAAAAAGATTTCATTGTGTGGCCGAAGGCTGACGTTTATAGGAGATTCAGTGCGACCTGGAAGTTTGGAAATTCCTCTTTTTTTTTTTCTTTTTTTTCTTCTTTATGGAACACTGAGTCTTCATTAACAAATTTCAAGAAATTCAAGTCCGATAACAGTGGAAAACGTAACACTTTAGAACCGTCACCAATTTCTGCTCAATACCGGTGAGGATTTCTATAGTTGATCTTGCAAGTATTTTATTTATTGGGTTGGGCAAAGGCACCTTTAGCAAAAATAAGGATTAAAAATAAGTTTAAACCTCTTGTATTTTATGAGTTGTTCTAAGCAAATTAATAGTGTAAAAGTTTAAGGATAAGCCTTCTCAAAATATAAATTTCCTTACTTTATTAGAAATTTCTTCAGCTTCCAGCTGACCTGCAAATGACA